TGCGGGCGTCAAGCCAGTGGGGCCACAGAGCTGTTTGCTGCGGGGAAGGGGAAAGCCCAGAGGCGCAGGCATTGGGATGTGGTTGCTCGGTGTTGCAGGAGTCGTCCCACAGCGGAAAACCACATGTGGGAGGGTCAGTGGGGATGACCGACTGAGCTGGGTGTCACAGGGTGCATTGCCAGAGCCAGCCATGCCCAGTCACCGGTGAAGGCTGCGGGAAGGGTGCTGAGCCCAAGCGGGAGCGGCGGGGGCCTGGGTTGAGCTGGCAGAGCGCCGCAATGGGTACCAGACAGAGGGCTCACGACTGTCACTCTACACTGCCGTCACTCTACACTGCCGTCACTGCATGCTGCCATCACTGCACACTGCTCTCCCCACCGCAAAACGTGCTGCTGCCGGCCAGGCTCCCTTCCCACCAGGACATGCCATCCAACGCCTCCAGCACAGCCCCTGGCATGGGGCAGCCCACTGCACTCACCCACGCTGCCCGGCATCACCAGGCTGCACGTCCCCCCTGTGCCTTGTCTGTCTGTCCCAGCCACCAGCAGTCTGGGCCCACGGACACCCTGAGGTCTAGCCCCTGCCCCAGCTGGCCTGGCTGTGCCCCGGGCTACCAGCAAAGGGCACAGCCCCATGGCTCCAGGGGCTCTGGGGGACTGCGAGCACTGCTGGTGGCACTGGCGGAATGGCAGTGGCAGCACAAGGAGAACGGGCCAGCTTGGGCATGAGTCGCTGCGCTCCCGGTCCCTCTGGGCGTGTGCTGAGGAAGGGGTGAGGCGATGCAGGAGCGTAGCCCATCACTGGCTGGGACGAACCGCGCCAGGGCTCGGGCCAGATGCTGAGCTCAGCGCCGGGAGATGTCTGCTGGAGCTTTGCTGCCCGATACCTGCGCCCACATGCACAAACACTCTTGCACAGATGAGCGCAGGTGCTCACACAGGGGCACGGCTGTGCACACACATCTACTGTGCGAGTGGCTCTGCACACTCACACGCATGTGCTTGTATGCATGCTGGCCCCAGCCCGAGAGCAGACCAGGCATGCTGACACTGACCTGCGTGGCACCACAGTCTCCGGCCCCGCCAGCCTCCATCACCACCGTGCCATTGTCCCCAGCCCCGCACACGTCCCAACCCCGCACCTGGATGGTGGCTTTGCACAGGGCAGGATGGGGGGCCTGGAGAGCTCTGGGCTGTGGGCTCTCACCCCTCGCCCAGCAGCAGTGTACCCTGGGCACTGGGCAGGGGCTTTGTGCGGGATGTGGGTGCAAACCGCAGGCAGGAGAGCAAGGAGCAGAGCAGCAGGAGCTGGGGCTGTGTGCCCTGGGGCTGGAGGAGATGCACCAGCACAGGCTGGGGGTCGCTCAGCAGGCTGGGACCCTCGGGGTTCGCACCCCACTCTGCCCCCAGAGAGGGGACGGGAGGTGTCTGGGGGGGACATCTGGGAGCGCTTCCCTTTGCCAGCCCCCAGGCCTGGAGCATGGCCATTCACCCCCGCGGCACGGCCAGGCTCTGTTGGGCAGATGAAGCAACTGCCAGCGGCACGTGATGCCAGTCTGGGGCTGGGGTGGCTGTGTGGGGTGCAGGGTGGACCCGTCAGGCGGGGCAGGCCCCGCTCCCGGGGTTCCCACAGCTGGGGCAATTGCTGGGGCGGTTGGGCAACAGGGCGGCACCCGCCTCCCCCTCCCTGCGGTGGGGGCCAGCTGGCTCTGCGGGGGGCCTGCCAGTGGGAGGGCTGCTCTGTCCTCCGAGCAGAGCCCCACGCGACCCGGCGCCACCAGACGGCACAGCTGTGGGGGCTTGGGTCCAAGCGGTGCCCGTTTGGGGCTGAGCCTCCAGCCCTGCTCTTCTGCCACCACCTGCTCACTCGCTGCCCCAGGAGCTGCTCGCACAGCAAAGCAATGCGATTGCAGCTGTGTGGGGCTCCTCTCCCAGCACGGGGTGCGAGGCGAGGAGGCTCTCCCAGGGCATCCCCTCTCTGCACCATGTCTCCCTGAGGATGGTGCTGCCTCACTTGGACCCTGTGCCCCCACCCACGTTCTCTGGGTCTGTGTCTCTGCCCATCGTGTCACCCCCATCCCTGGGTCCAGCCCTGATGAAGCCACATTGCCAGTGTTTGCGTGGCTGTGCAAACACTTGGCAAATTGTTTGCGTGTGCACCCCGGCCACCCCGCGCCTGTTGTCTTTGCTTCCCAGGCCAGAGTCATTGCCCGGGGCTCTGGATGTGGCTGACACAGGCCGGTGGTGCTGGTGGTGCCGGGTGTGTTCCCCCAGCTGGGAGTGGTAGATGAGATTTCCATAGGCAGAGGAATGTGCAACGCAACTTGTGTCGGCGGTCCCAGCCCGTGCTGGCAGCACTGTGCAGACCATCCCAGGACGTGTTGGCAGATGCTCTGCTCCGTGGAGAGCAGTGGGGCTCGGCCCTGCTCTCAGGGGGCTGCCGGCAGTGCCAGCAGCACGGGGCCCCAACCCGCACGCAGGGCGTTTGCAGGGCTCCTCCGGGCGCGGATGGGGGAATGCCCCGGCACAGGCTCTCTGGCGCATTTCCAGACCTGGCCCCCTTTGGCTGCTGCCCGATGCAGAAGTGTTTGTTCAGAAAAAAACCAAGTGTGGACACAGTTTTAGGGGACAACAGTGCAGAAATAGGACTGAAATCCGTAAGGGCACTGCCAGCCAGCCAGCAGGACCGAGATAAGGGAGGAGGCAGCCAGGCAAAGCCCCAGCGCTGGTGGGGGGATCAGAGGAGGACCGCAGCAGCCCCGGTACGTGGGAGTCTTGGACTTCCCCAAGGCGGGGAGGTGCCGGGCGAGGGCCATGCTGCTGCGATGCCTGGGGACAGTCCCTGTGCATGAGGTGTCCCCACTTCCTGGAGCAGGGAGGGGCACAGCCAGTGTCTCCAGACACCCCATCTCACCCTGACCTGCAGCCATGTCCCATCCCAACTGTCCCCCAGCTGCCCCAGCATGGGACCGGGCAGGTGGGCGGATGGATGCACTGCTGCAGGGGACCACGCTGGCCGGGGACCGCGTGGACACTCCCGGTGCCCTCACAGCCACGGGGTGGCAGAAGGGCAGCCAGTACATGGGGATGGGGACGCGGCGTCTCCCAGTACTGCCCACCGTGGGTGTGGGCTCCTGGCCCGGGGCAGAGGCGCTGGGGCATAGCAGGAATCCCAGCAATGCTTTCCTCGGAAAGGAGGTAACACGGCACAGTGCCTGCTGGCACCCACTGCAATGCCCCGGGCGGCTACGGCGCCGGGCGTCTCTGCCAGCGGCACCCAGCTGGGGGCACACCCAGCCATGCCCGGCCACCGTGTGCCACAATGCCAGGCCACGTGTGCACTGGCTTTGGTGATGCTACATCCCCCTGCACTGCCCAGCTGCGGCAGCCCCTTGCCGTGACAGCGGCATGAGTGGACAGACAGACTGACAGAGTGCAGCAAGCCCCGGGTGCTCATAGAAAAAGAAACCTACTCTTTATTGTGGCTGGCAGGGCCGTGCCCAGCCAGGGTTACATTCAGCTCTACTGCTGTCCGGTTAGCGGGGTGACGTGAGCATGCGTCAGCAGGGCAGGGGTCCCACTGCCCGCGGGTGCTGCAGGCGGGACGGGGGCTTGGGCACGAGGGACCCCCCCACCCGTGGCAGCCCCACCCCTGCCGGGGCGGGGGGCAGCTGTAGCCGGGGCCCTGTGTGCACACACCGAAGGCCCAAGGGGTGAGGGTTAGCACCAGAAACGGGGCTCTGCATCCGGCGAGGGGCCCCGGTGCCGGGGTACTGAGCCCGGCCACCTCCCACCAAGGCATGGGCAGCAGGATGGGGGGGACCCCCGCCAGCACTGCCAAATGCCTGGGGGCACCGGCAGCCACCCCAACAGCACGGGAGCCTGGGGGAGAAGGGTAGGGCCCAGCCCAGGGGCATCTGGGCTGCTGCAGCCCTGGCTGACCCTACGGCTCCCAGCAGCCTGCAGCTGCCCCAGGCACTCGGAGCAGGGCGTCCGGGCTCGGCCCCCTGCATGCTGCCTGGTGGAGTGGTGGGGCAGGGGGCCGGTGCCAGCCAGAGCCCGGGGGTGGTTTGGTGTGTGTCGGGGGATGCTTGCATATACGCTGGGGCCAGGCCCAGTGGGATCGGTGACGGACAGACAGCTCAGCCCTTGCAGGCGGGCGCCCGCT